CCAGTCCAAGCTTCACTACCCTTGGTGATAAAATATTAGAATCATGAACACTTTTAGAGAAAAATTAATGTCAAAACAAAATCTTAGGGCCTTTTCCTGCACTGAATACCAGGAGCATCAGCAAAAAAGAATAATCTCATTTTTTATGATTATGAAATCACAATCAGGGTTTAAGGTCTTGGAGCAAATGAAATTGTTGTGACTAACACATTTAAATGTGGTTTCTTACAGTTTGCTTCACATTCTCATTCATGTGCTTTGTGGTTGCTGAAAGTCATAAAAGCCTTGGTGTATTTTTTTTTTTTTTGAAGGCAATGAGGAACTAGACCCAGATTTTTGTCATAAGTTGCTTTTTATTTAAATAAACTCTTTGGCTTCTTCCTGCAGCAGGGCAGGAATAGGGCTGGCTTTGTCTGCAGGTCGTTCCTCATGTAGCAAAAATGGCTCTGAGTCAATGGTTTTTTAGAGACAGAAGGGAGGCTTGAAAAATGATGAGGAAAGATGGTCTTTATTTTCTGACTACTCATCTGATGTTCTTTTTGGCTTGATGAGTGTTGATATAGAGAGGGCATTAAATTTCCATGTGCTCTGTTCTTTTAAAGGCCCCATCATGGATGAAAACCTTGGAAACTGGAGATGCAGTGGATGTAAATCTTCAAAGACCTTTCCCTGCTTACTTGTTAAACACTGCAAGCAGCTGGCCCTGCACCAACAAAATTCAGCACATGGTGCCAGTGGAAAAGTCATCTTCCCAAGCCAATTCCCTGGCTGCCAACAGTGTGGGCACAGGAACCAGAAAACAGATCATAAAGGTAATCAGATTCATAAATAAATTCCTAAATGTTGCCTAAAAATTGGGAGTTCAGAGAGGATGGCTGGTTTGTCCTACTCTGTCCCAGCCCCACAGCTGACAAGGATTTTGCAGGATTTTGGAGCCCCTGGTGCTGGCACATCATTTGGGAATGTTTATAACTCGAGGCTGCCTGTTTTTTCTCACTTCTGATCTAAGCTGGAGTGCAAAGCTGTAAGCCTTGGTAAATGAAGCAGAGATGTCTGTACACAGTAGGAGGATCTGTGTTAAATTTTATTTGTACCAGCCAGACTTGGAAATGAGAAATGTGCTCCCAGGTATAGAGAGCTTAAAACATACTGTGCCTGTCTGCTGCTTTTAAAAGGCAGGGAGGGAGAGACCAATAAATCCCCAGGCTCCCAACAGCTCAGTTCTCTTCCACGTGCTCCCTGTCAAAGAGGCATGAAGAGCAATGAGCTGGGTGGCAGGAGAAAACAACCTGCTTTGAAATGTCACTGGCCTGGGGAATGAGGAAGAGCTGGAAGGAAATGTGCTCTGGAGCGGTGGGAAGGAAATCAGCTGTCTGTGGGCAATGCTAATTGGGCAAGGTGTTGGCAATGGGGAAAGCCTGATGGATTTGTTGTGGTTTAGCTGAACAAAACTGGAGGGGTTTAGGATCAATTAAAAGCTCCTGAATATAACATTCAATACCTCCTTCAGGGTTGGTGTGTTTAGAACTAAAGGACACAGCTGAGTGCAGCAGCAGCTGAGGGAGCAGCAACAGAAACAACTTTTAAGATTAAACTCAGGGGTGAGGCAAATTTGTTTAAAGAAGGAAGAAAAAAACTATTGCAGAGCATCTTGCAAAAGGCTCCAGAGTGGGAGGAGAGGAAGACCCAGAGCAAAGGGAATTACTTTCAGCCAACACTAATTCTCCCTCTTTGATTTGCCTGCAGGTTCAGCAGCATGACTCAGATGTGATCTACATTTGAAGCCCCTCATTTCCTTGCCAGCCTGGTGGGACTGGTGGCCTTTTTGCCTCTGTGGGGACACTTGGGCAGCTCTGGCTGCTGCCAGCTGTGAGGGGCAAGGCACTGTGGATACAGAGCTGCCATCCAGCTCCCAGGCTGGTGCCATCAGCTGGGAATGCCAGAGGTGCCCCCAGTGTGGCTGGGAGCAGTGCAAAGCCAGAGGAAATGTTGTTTATTGCCTGTGCACTTTGGAAAGGACTCTTCACACTTTGCTAAAACCCTTCCTCCCCCAGGTGCTTCAGCTTTGCTGCTGGAGGAAGGATGTGAGGCAGCGAGTGCCCAGGAGGTGTTTGGGATGAGAAAACAGAACACAGGCTTGGTGTTTATCTCCACAACAGACTAATTATGGTTTTGGTCCAGTCCCTGGGACATGACTCCCACAGAGCTGCTTAACGTTTCAATGTTTGCCTGCCAAGTATTTTCCTTCTCCTCCCCAAACATTTCTTGGTTCACTTAATTGATTTGCATTTCTCTGTGAGAAATCTCAGCTTTTAATTCCAGATGCACAAGTGGACATCTTCAAGTACCTCCCATTCCTGGGGGAATCCTTTGTTTGGAATGCAGAGCTTCTGTTCTTGCAGTCCCTGACCAGATCAAGCATTTTCTGCTCGAGCAAACTGTGCATACATTAACTGCCTTCCCACTTGTGTGCAGCACAGCTCCCAGATTAGACAAGGACAAAAGATGCTGTTGGTGTCTGCTAGAGTGGGACTTGTTTCTGGTGGAGAGAGGTGCATGCAGCAAAGTGCCTGCCTCATTAGTAAAGCCCACTTGCATTTTCTGGCTTTGTGTGTGTTTAAGTGTCTGCTTCTCCATAAATCTTCACTCTGAGGACTTCTGGGGAAGCAGACAACATTCAACTGCAGCTGAAGCAGGAGCCCAGCTGAACTTGTGACGTGTGACTTAAAAATGAACGGTAATGTTGTTAAATGTCTTGTTCTAAAAGCTGAGATTAAAGAATAAACCAGGGTTCAACAAAAAGCTTCAATTTCCACTTGCTTGGAAGGGAGCGCTGTGTCAATATTCCTCCAGCATTAACAAGGCAGCTTTGGAGAACAAACACCCAGATCTGCTCTGTACACATCTGCAGCAGGCTGAGCACACAGGGGGATGGCAGCTGCCTGTGGAGGGCCAGGAGTGCTCTGCAGGGCTGCCCTGCCTTGCCTGGCTGCCTTGGGCTGTGTCCGTTCTGTGCCAGCTCAGTCTGGCACGAGATGTTTGCAGAATATTGGCTGGTACACGCAATTGCTGAGCTGTCTGCAGAAACCTGGTGTGCGAAGCTGTCAGAAATGCCAGAATGATGAGGCAGATGCTGTCATGGTCCCAAGGCTGGGGAGGGGGCATGGGCCAGTGTGGTGGTGTTCACAGGGGTTTTCAGGTGAGGGAAGAGACAACAATGTTGACTCCATGTTCAGAAGGCTTGATTTAATATTTTATGATATGCATTACACTAAAACTATACTAAAAAGAATAGAAAGAAAAGTTTCATCTCAGAAGGCTAGCTAAGCTAAGAATAGAAAGGAATGAATAATAAAGGGTTGTGTCTCAGACAGAGAGTCCAAGGTAACTGGGCTGGGATTGGCCATTAATTATAAACATCTAAGATGGGCCAATCACAGATGCACCTGTTGCATTCCACAGCAGCAGACAATCAATGTTTACATTTTGTTCCTGAGGCCTCCCAGCTTCTCAGGAAGAAAAATCCTAAGCAAATGATTTTCATAAAAAGATATCTACCACAGGCCAGGATTTGGGACAGTGAACCATCCCTTGTATTAGCCAGGAAATGCTGCAGCAGCTTTGAGTGTGGCATTCTCGGATTTGAGGGTGAGGAGAAATACTGGGATTCCCCTGTTCTTCTTTTCCTGTTCCCTCTTTTATTCTGGCATGTGCTTTGCCACAGCCAAGGCAGCTTGTGCCTCATCTTCCACACGTGCTCATTCTTCCTTCTGCTCTTGGGTCTGAGCTGTGGCCCAGAGGAGGAGACCTGCTCCATGTGTGATTTATTTCTTTGGACTTAGTCCTGTAAATCCCAGTGAAGAAAAGGGCAAGGTCACACTCCTGCCAGCTCAAATACAAACCCTGCCTTCACATGCTGTTCTCAGCCTGCTGTGGCCTTGCTGGGCATTGCTGCTGTGCAGCACCGCCCTCCTGCAGGCTGGGATGGGTGTTTGGGCTCTGAGGTGGGCCAGGAGGAGCTGGGATCTGCTGTGAGCCTTTTAGATGGAGAATGGGGAGCTGGAATCTTGTGTGAGCCTTTTAGATGGGTCAGGAGGAGCTGGGATCTGCCCTGAGCCTTTTAGATGGGTCAGGAGGATCTGGAATTTGCTCTGAGCCTTTCAGATGGGTCAGGAGGAGCTGGGATCTGCTGTGAACCTTTTAGATGGGCAAGGAGGAGCTGGGAACTGCTCTGAGCCCTTTAGATGGATAAAGAGGAGCTGGAATCTTCTGTGAACCTTTTAGATGGAGAAGGAGGAGCTGGGAACTGCTGTGAGCCTTTTAGATGGAGAATGGGGAGCTGGAATCTTCTGTGAGCCTTTCAGATGGGTCAGGAGGAGCTGGGTTGTGCTGTGAGCCTTTTGGGTGGAGAAAGAGGACGTGGTATCTTCTGTGAGCCTTTCAGGTGAAGAAAGGGGAGCTGGGAACTGCTGTGAGCCTTTTTAGATGTGT